CAATAATCGCATGCCAATGTGCATTGGCTCATTTAGTTTACACTCTAAGTAGATTGGTCTCTCTAAGCTAGATCCCAATTCACCTGAACTTGACTGAAAGGGAACGTGACCATGCTCTGAATCACATATGAAATCAGTCCAAAAGATGGGTGAGATGGGTGAGACGTCATGGGCGGGTGATGTTGTGACCAGGAAGTTATAAAAGCATGTGCAGGTGGAACCGGCGTCAGCTTCTAGGAATGACGCTAGCGCTCACAGGGATGCCGGAAGTATGGCACAGAGATGCAGCGTCTGGTTCCCTCGGGGGACCCTGGTTACATTCGTAACCTGGAGACGTTCCCCTTCAGGAACTCTAGCTGCGTCGGAAAACACTTTGGGAACGAGTATGCCCACGCGGCCAGACTTATCAATCCCTGCATAGTGTGGAAGAGCACAGCTAAGGCGAGAGAAAGGAGCCAGGAGTGGCGCAGTATGCAGGAAGGCACCTGACAAAGTAGGCGGTGACATCCCGCAACGTCCCGAAGGCCAACTTCAGAAGGAGTGAGACTTGACCCCTAAAGGAGAGGGGAGATCAGAGGACTCGAGGCTATGAAAAAGCATCCTGATCCACTGCTTAGCATAAGCTTCTCTGGCCAGAGGCCTCAGCCTCAGTGCACCGTGGAGGAAACATGTAACTAGGGGGTGTCTGCCCACTGACTGGCCACCGACACGTAGACTTTCAAGGTGGAGTGGGTCAACCCTGCAGAGAAACGGGCCTGCAGGAACTCCAGCACTGTACCAACTGGGCAGTAAACTGGGTCGAGCTGGCGGTCTCCGCACCAAGAAGTGATAGATTCTGCATCTCTCCTGACGGAAATCTCCCATGGAGAGCCGTCGAGAAGGGAAATCAGGTCCGAGAACCATACTTGGACCGTCCAGAATGGGGCTACCAACAGTAGACGGACCCTGTCCCGGCACACTCTCTCCAGAACTTCCGGGAGCAGAGTGATCAGGGAAAATGCGTACAGACGAAGCCTCGGCCACGTCTGTACCATAGCGTCCAGTCCAAGAGGAGCTGGATGAGTCAGAGAGAACCAGAGGGGACAGTGCGATGGGAGCGCGAACGCAGACCTCCCTGGTGGTTGATTTAAGAAACCGCCGCTGTGTCGTCGGTGCACCAACACATGGCGACCTCTAAGGTCTGGGAGAAAGTGTTTCAATGCTAGAGAAACAACCAGCATCTCCAGGCAGTTGAAGTGCCACGTGAGATGGCAGTCGCTCCACAGACCGTGGGCTGAGCGGTCACTCATTACCACTCCTCAACCGGTGAGGGACGCGTCCGTCGCTAGCATTACACGGCGACAAGGAGCTTCCAGCACCGGGCCCTGAGACAAGAACCCAGCTTACTCCACATGTCTAAGGCACGTAGGCATCGCCGCGTGACCTTGAGCATGCGGAGCGGGTTTCCCCTCAGGGAGAACCCCTTGGTCTTGAGCCACCACTGTAGGGTCTCATGTACAGCAGGTCAAAAGGTATCACGCTGGACGCAGCTGCTATCAGACCCAGCAGTGTGCAGGACCCACTGAGACGCATTTGGCAGAAGTTTCCACGCTGCCAAAAAGGTCTACTAAGGGAATCAGTCTCTTTTTTTCGAGACTGAGATAATGAATAAAGAGATCTCTGGAGTAATCAGTGCGGCTAGGTCAGTGCCCTGAAGCGGCAAACCGGCAGGAGACGGACAAACTAGCTGCTCTAGAAACCGCCGAAGAGGTAGCGAGCCTCTTAATACCGCTACATTTCCGGGCGGTGACTGAGAGAAGCGCTCACCAGAGACCACTGCACCCTGAAGCACCGTAGGTCGCAGGGTTGGCAGATCGATCTCCTGAGGGCACTGAGGAGAGATGGGGACCGTATAACGAGGTGTACACCACTCTTCCCCAGAGGGCCTGCCCTCCGAAGTCCTGAGCCATGGCATCAGGACTCTCTAAGCTGAAGTCTCCTATTGAAAACGACGGTCCTCAGACCTGCGTCATCTCCTAGGAAGACTAGACTGATAGAACCAGAGCCTGCTCGGGGCAGGACCCAATGAGACACACTTGGCAGGGTCTCCCACACCGCCAGGTGACCTACTAAGGGAACCAGTCTCTCGAGACTAGCCTCTGGTGCACTTAGAGCGGCTAGGTCGGTGCCAGTGGGGGACCAGCAGGGAACGGCCGAACTAGCTGCCCTAGAAACCTCCCAAGAGGTAGCGAGCCTCTTAGTACCGCTATGTTTCCGGGCGGTGACTGAGAGAAGCGCTTGCCGAAGACTGCTGCGCCCTGAAGCACCATAGGTAGTAGGGTTGGCAGATCGATCTCCTGAGAGCACTGAGGCGAGACGGCCACCATATAATGATGTGTACACCGCTCTTCCCCAGGGGGGGCGGGGGGGTCCACCCGGGGCCCACCCTCAGAAGTCCTGGGCCTTAGGCGTCAGGACGTTTTAGCTGAAGACTATCCAGTGGGAATGACGGTCCGCAGATCCGCCTTCCGCTAGAAGCCTTCGGCCCGGGAGCGCCACTCTGACTCTAAATTCTGAAGAGTACGAGAAGTGACGCTCCCTATATGAGGAGCTGGAACACGGTTGGTTGGGGCTGCTCCCGCCCAGCAGCCCCTGTTGACCACCTCAACCTTCTCAGAGGAAGAGAGGTAAACACGTGCTCTTACTCAAGAAATCTTTATCCCAAGAGCCCTGTATATCTAACTTCTCATAGTCAGATAAATACTTAATTTTATTCCTCAGAATTAAATGCAATCAAATAACCAGACGTGTAAACATGGTCTGGTGTAATAAGATTCATATCAAAAATCGAAAATGATGTAATACACGCGTTGCCTCGGCAGTGCGCGAGCCGCTTGGTCACACAAACAATATCAATCTCCTTGGAGAAAAATAGCTACAGCAGCAGAGCTCTCACTCAGAGGGGGAAGAAACCGTAGCACGGGCTTCCGAGCCTCGAGAGAGAGCGCTGGATCTAGGGAGTGCAGGCAGAGAAAGGGCGAGCCGTCTCCAACCCATCCGCTAGATCCACGTGCGATCCCCACGATCTGAATCGCCGCCGTGCCTCAGCAATAGCGGGACTGAACCGCGAGTTTGCAAGCCCTGACACACTCATCGGAGCGTGCCCGGCGGGAGCGGAGCGTTCAGCAGGGAGAAGCACAATCAGCCCCTTATTCCCGAGAGCTGACTGCGTGAGCTCCGCTCCCCAGACATAATGCTTGTGCGGAGTAAAGCACAATCAGCCCCGCTCTTTTTTCCGAGAGCTGACTGCGCGAGCTCTGCTTCACAGTAAGCTGCTCATTATAATATTAGGCATAATATGCTTGTGTAACTGATGCTTGTGTAACTGATGCTTGTGCAACTGATGAGCTCGTCGATGCCCTCCATATCAACCTCCTCGGAGGAAGACAGGTGGAGCGTTGAGCCCTCTCACCGGGGGGAAAGAACCGCAGCGCGGCCTTCCGAACCCCGAGAGCGGGTGCTGGATCTGGTAGGTGAGGAAGAAGATAGGGACTCGCCCGTCTACATTCCTTCCAGCGGATCCATATGCAAAAACCCCATGAGCACAGCTGCCGCTCCGCCTCGGCGAAAGCGGGGCCGGTGCTGCGAGAAACGCCGGTGAAAGCTCCCTCCTCAAAGAGAGCCCTCGGAGAGCGAAGCAAGGCAGTAACAAACGCTTGCAAGAGAGCTGACTCTGCGTGCTTCGCTCCCAAGCAGACAACACACAAACTGTGTGTGTCCCCACCCGAAATATAGCGCGGGAAGGGAGGAATACACAGTCTGAATGGTGTCTGCTCTTGCCCAAATGCTTCTTTTTGCTGAAGCTTGGCATAATGGAGCTTATAAGTGGACAAACAACACTAAATAAGACTCACAAACAGATAGCGACTGACACACACACACAGAGCGCTTGCTGAATGACAAAAAGCTGACGCCGTTTCCACCGCACGTGCTTTTATAGCTTTTATAGTCACCCACCCATGACGTCTCGCACATCTTTTGGACTGATTTCATATGTGATTCAGAGCATGGTCACGCTGGGGGGGGGGGGTTCCCAAAGCGTTTTCTGATGCAGCTCGAGTTCCTGAAGGAGAATCAAGGTTTTGCTGGTTAGCGTGAGATTGTTCACCCCTGCTGGCAAAAGTTGAAACTACACCTTTCTGCTGCCAAAAAGCATTTCTTTATTGAAGACTTTTCAAATGCAACTGGCTATTCCATTATAGTTAACTATAATGTAACTAAAACCATCAGCTTAAGAAATCCTCCACCTTCCCCAGCTCCACCTGTATAGATCTGCTGCCGGTTAATTTCATGTATGTTATATATTGGGGTAAATATCAATGTATTAATATCAAAATATCAATAAAAACCATAATATTACCTCAATCATACTAAAATACATTGGTCTTTTCTAACTTAAAATACACTTGTCTTTTTTTTTAAATAGACATTGGGATTTATTGGTGGTTGGTTTTTTGGAGGTCTCTTGAAATAAATTGGACTAATAATCTTTCCTGTCCGCTACCTTTGATGTCACTGTTAGACATCAGGATGATTAGTAGTGAAGGGTTTGGGACTGTGAGAGTTCTTTTGCTGCCATCATTCAATTAGCATTTTCATTGCGCTATTGTGCTACGATTTCAGAGTGATTAGTCACATGACATGTACAGCTCAGGTAAGTGGCTCAAATCTATGCCAAGAAATGAGCAAATATTGCAGCAGGTTGCATATTTCTCCCTGACCTGTGTGAATGTAAAAATGTGAACTAAAGGAATAGTTCACCTAAAAATTACAATTCTGTCATAATTTACTCACCCTCATGCCATTTCAAACCTGTATGACTTTCTGTCTTCTGTGGAGTACAAAAGAAGATCTTTTGAAGAATGGTACTCTTTCCTTTTATCTTCTGTGTTCTTCTAACTCTTCTATTCATGTTTCCACGCTCTATGAATGCAGTCTCTCTCTCCGAGCGGTTCCCCTCCTGAGATGCTGAGTGGTACATTCCTATCTACTACTCTCTGCTGCTCTGCCTCTCAGTCCACCAGACAGCCGAGTGCTCGCTGCACGCTGCACTGCTCCACAGCATCACTGGCCGTGTGTGTGTCTCTAACCCTCCAGTGCTGCTTGTCTAGATGTTCAGGATGTGTGGTTGATGGCCTGTGCTGTAAACGAACAACAACACTCCGGTACTCCCACTGCAAGACTCCTGGTCAGACTTGGCAGCCGCTTTGGGATGTCTTCCCCAGGAACCGCCAGCGACAGCAAGAGGAATTCTTGTAAGTAGCATCTCTCTTTCTTTTACTGCTGATGCCTGAAGTATCTTCTGACCTGCAGTGCTTCAGTGACTCCGCATGGGTTGTTTACAGATGTGCATGCTGGAACAGAGCAGCTGCTGATCAGGATTTCAGATAACAGTTGTTTACTGGACCCAAATGGAGGTTGGAAATTGTGGGTGGAGTGATATGTCTCATTATTTTGGATGTTTGTTAATCACTCAATGGCTTTGTAATAATATGAATGAAAAAAAGTGAGACATAGATTTTTCCTTGTACTCAGCAATCTCAAAAATCTGAGGTTTCAGTCAGGAATTGTTTTTGCTTCCGGATCCAGATTTTACACTGGACTTCAAGTGGCGAGCCATCATTAATATTTTATTTTGACTTTACCTTTATTTAACCAGGAAGTCTCATTGAGATTAAAGTCTATTTTACAAGAGAGACCTGGCCAAGGTAGCAGCCATACAGTAAGACAACAATTTAAAATACAACAAACACACATTAAAACAATATTTAAACATAATATCCTCTCAACAAAAACAATCACAAGCCTCCATTACCAATCTCCTTATGATGCTTTTAAATTCACCAATAGACACAAATTTATCAAGTTTTAGATCTTTTTGCAAATTATTCCATGCCCAGGGTGCATAATACGAAAATTCAGTTTTCCCCAGTTCTGTACAAACTCGAGGTAAGTTAAAAAGCAAACACTTGGAAGAGCGTAGCTGGTAACTGCCCGAACAAAGACAAAGAAGGGTACAGAGATAAGCTGGAAGTTTACCTAACATTGCTTTATAGATAAAAATGTACCAGTGCTGTTTTCTACGTATAGGTTAGTGATGTCCAACCCACCATCTCATATAGAATGCAGTGATGAGTACGGGATTTTGCATTTGTAATAAAATGTAATGAAGCATACACTGAATCAAGGCTCGTTAAGATGGAGGAGGCTGCATGCATGTATACTATATCACCATAATCAAGCACAGTTAGGAAGGTGGCTTCTACAAGTTTATTTTTGGCATTAAAAGTAAAATTATATTTATTTCTAAAATAAAAACCAAGCTTCACTTTGAGCTTCCTGATTAGATTGGCAATATGTACATTGAATAAAAGCTTATCATCAATCAAAATGCCTAAATACTTGTAAGAAGATACTATTTCAATAATTTTACCATCAAATATAAAAATACTAAGATTATCAAGTACTTGTGACTGGGCTTTTGAAAAAGCCATAAACTTTGTTTTCTGAGAATTTAAATCTAATTTTAAGCTCACCAGAGCACCTTCCAATGACTGAAAATCAGTCTGAAGCTCTTTCACCGCCTGTGTTATAGATGGAGCAAGTGTATAAATAATAGTACCATAAGCATAAAAGTTTTTTTTTTTGCTTGAATATCCTTACCTAAATCATTTATATAAATAGAAAACAAATAGGTCCCAAAATGGAACCCTGGGGAACCCCTTTAGATATATCAAGAAAATCTGATCTAAATATATATATATATATATATATATATATATATATATATATATATATATATATATATATAATATAAATATAAATATAATATAAATATAGTTTACCATGCAAAAATAAACAAATGTGTCCTTAAAATCAAACGCTGAAATTTATTCACATTACCATGATACCTCCATATCATACCTGAAATATGCCAAATTATTGTATGCATATTATTGCATGTCTGAAATGTTGATGTTTTCACGCTCCAGGCAGCCAATAATTCATTGCCCAAAACACTGTAGTCAGCAAAAACTGTGTTAATCTTCTTTTAAGTAAGGGAATGTCATGAAACCTCTCCTTATTGTCATCTGCTCAATTTGGCTATACCTTCTACCAAATTAAGATGAATGTGCATCAAAATACAACAGAATTTGATTGGACACACAACCTTTGGCACCACCAAAGGTGTTGCTTACTCCTTTGTCATCAACAATGACGGGAAGTATTTTGTCCACCTTTTAAATGTAGATTAGCCTATTTATTTTAGTTATGACAACAATGTATGATTATATGATTGCATTTCTTTATTAGCATTTAGCATTGTTTGTATTTTTTACCAGTTGAGAAGCACTGCTCTAAAGCACTGTCGCTAGAGTCTCCAAGTTGCAGCTTTCTAGCATTGTCCAGTGCTATATTTTACAAGAAAAAAAATTGTGAATATTTCATTGCATGAAAATGTTGGTGCGGTGGTGAGTGGAATAATAGCAGCACGTATGAGTCAGTGTGAAAGCTGTGTGAGGGAGAATCCTCAGGGGATGAACTTGAGTACTGAGTATTGATGAAACGCAGAGACACTGTGATATCGCACACACATACATAAAAAAACCTTACATCTCTATTTGCCTTTTTTCCACTGCCTTTGGGTATGTTTGGCTTTCATGTTGATTAGTAGTGCAGGAGAGCTCTCTAAGTCTCGTTATTATGACGACCCCACCCATCCCCCCGTCCATCTCTCCTCCTCAAGATGTGATTTACAGTCAAGGCTCTCTCAGACCCTGGAAACCTCATCTTTAATTACGCAAACCCCCTGCTCTCAACGAACCTCAAACCACTTTGGTTTCCAGTCAGCATCAGAGGTGATTGTTATTTTATCTCTTCAGTGTTTGGACACAAAGTAGTTTAGCTAAAGCAAGTGTTAATCCATTCATTTGGATCTTAAAGACATAGTTACCCAAAAAATACAAATTCAGCCATTTGCTCAGCATCGTGTTACTTCAGACATGTATGATTTTCTTTTTAACAACCTCGTATTTCACAGTAGATCTGTCTTTAATGGTTTATACATTGTTGGTAAAAATCAATTGCCCATGACGAAAATGAATGAGATTTTTATTTCCATTTGATGTCATTGACATCAAATCTGCTACACAACACATCTTGATGCATCATGTTTGAATGTATGGAACCAAGGGAATAGACGAAGAGCTGAATGAAAATGAATAATATGAAGAATGAAGATTTACATAGAATACTGATTTAAATTTGGTCTGTTCATCACATAAAATATTGTATGGCTTCAGAAGGATTGGAATATAGCACACGTCATACTGATAACTTTTATGGTGCTCTTTTGGTCCTTTCGGAAGCTTGATAGCCCCAGTCCTCATTCACTTTTATTGTATGAAAAACAGCAGTTTGGACATTCTGCTAAACTTCTCCTTTTATTTTACACTGAAGAAAGTAAGTCATACAGGTTGGAACAACATTAGGGTGAGTAAATAATGACAAAATCTAAATTCAGAGGTAATTGTTTCCTAACGAGGCTTTAGGAGGTGCTCAAGTGAGAACTACTGTTGAACAGTCTTTGGTTGGATTTACACACAGCAGTTTTTGCTGACAGCTGAAGCCAGCCAGTCAGTGAGATAACAGAGGTGCTGATTAAAGACTATTGAGTAGTATTCAACAGAGAGCAAGGCTCTAATCTCACTGTCTTCTCGTTTGTCTCTTCACTGCTTCATTTGACTTTATGTGTGCCGGAGTTACTTGCTTTTACATTAAATATTAACATTGTTTAAATTAGCATGCAACAGAAATGATTAGTGTCTTTGTATCAAGTTAATTTGTTAGTGTGCTGGTTGCTCTGTGTTCAAAAACTGCAATTATTTCATAAGGATGACATGGATTGGATTTGGAGGCGTGTGTGTGTGTGTGTGTGTTCTTTGAGGTTGAACAAAAGCAGTGAGGTAAAAGCTTGTTTACAGACATGTTTTTGACAGAAAGATGAAAAGTCCAGGTCAAAGTCTCAAAGTTTTCCTTCATAAACAAACAAACAAAAAAAAAA